TTAAATGGGGATAGTATGAACAATATAAGACGAGAAACTAGCAGGCATTTCAGGAACAAAAAGAGGGAATATCTGAAAGACAAAATTGATGAGCTTGCAATGAACAGTAACAACAAGAATATTAGATACCTGTATAGAGGAATAAATGACTTTAAGAGGGGTTACCAGCCTAGCAGTAACTTGGTGAAGGATGAGAATGGTCATCTGCTTGCAGATTCCCACAATATTTTGAATAGGTGGAGGAACTACTTCTCTCAGTAATTGAATGTACATAGGGTCAGTGATGTTAGGCAGACAGAAATCCATACAGCTGAGCCGTTAATACCTGATCCTAGCCCTTTTGGGGTTGAAAGTGCTATTGCAAAATTGAAACGGTACAAATCGCCAGGTAGTGATCAAATTCCGCAGAACTTATTCAAGCAGGAGGCGCAATATTACGTTCTAAGACCCACAATCTAATTACTTTTATTTGGCATAAGGAAAAATTGCCTGATCAGTGGAAGGAGTATATTATTGTACCAGTTCACATGAAGGGTGATAAAACTGACTGTAGTGATTATCGGGGGATATCACTGCTATCAACTTCATATAAAATTTTGTCCAATATTCTTCTTTCAAGGCTAAGTCCATATATAGATGCAGTTATCGGGATCATCAGTGTGGGTTTCGAAGTAACAGATCAACTACAGATCAGATCTTTTGCATTCGTCAGATATTGGAGAAAAAATGGGAGTACGATGAGACAGTACATCAGCTATTCATAGACTTCAAGAAAGCCTACAATTCAGTTAGGAGGGAAGTTGTACAATATTCTAATAGAGTTTAGGATACCCATAAAACTAGTTAGGTTGATTAAAATGTGTTTAAACGAAACGTATACTCGTGGTAAAGTCCGTGTAGGTAAACATTTGTCTGATAAATTTCCTATCCAGAATGGTCTAAAACAAGGAGATGCTTTATCGCCACTCATTTTCAACTCTGCCTTAGAATATGCAATTAGGAAGGTCCAGGGAAACCAGGTGGGACTTAAATTAAACGGGACAAATCAGCTGTTGGTCTACGCCAATGATGTAAATCTACTGGGTGATAATGTAGATACCACAAAGAAAAACACACAAACTTTAATTGACGCAAGTAAAGAGGTTGGTCTAGAATTAAACACAGAGAAAACTAAGTATATGTTACTGTCTCATCACCAAAATGCAGGGCAAAATCATGACATAAAGATAGGAAACAGATGTTTTGAAAATGTGGCACAGCAAAGATATTTGGGAACCTCGAAACCTGATTCAGGAAGACATTAAGAGGCGATTGGACTCGGGTAATGCTTGCTACCATTCAGTCCAGAACCTTTTCTCTTCTCGTCTGTTGTCCGAAAACATAAAAATTAGAACATACAAAATTATAATTTTGCCTGTGGTTATGTATGGGTGTGAAACTTGGTCTGTGACATTAAGGGAGGAACATAGGCTGAGGGTGTTTGAGAACAAAGTGTTGAGGAGAATATAAGGACCGAAGAGAGATGAAGTGACAGGAGGTTGGAGAAAACGGAATAATGTGGAGCTTCATAACTTGTACTCTTTTCCAAGTATAATTAGAATGATCAAGTCAAGGAGGATGAGGTGGACAGTTCATGTAGCACGAATGGGGCAGACGAGAAATGCGTATAGGATATTGGTGGGAAAGCCAGAAGGAAAGAGACCACTGTGAAGACCAAGGCATAGGTGGGTGGACAATATTAAAATGGATCTTAGAGATAAGGATGGGATGGATTGGATAGATCTGGCTCAAGATAGGGACCAGTGGAGGGCTCTTGTGAATACGGTGATGAACCTTCGGGTTCCATAAAATGCTGGGAAATTCTTGAGTAGCTGCAGAATTGGCGGCTCCTCCAGAAGGGCTCAGCTCCATGAGTAAGTAAGCAAGCAAGCAAGTAAGCCTGTTTTGAAAGTCAACTGGCGTTTGGGAAGAACATGTCGCCTCCATCTCTCCACGGTTGAACAATAATTCAAAGAAAACAGCACGAATCAGGTAGAAAGCAGAATGTCAAGTTCGAACCGGCAAGTTCCTCCGAAACGGACTTTGAACGCACTACACACCCTATATCCCTGAAGATGGAATTCTTCACAGTTTGGTGCTAAGCACACATCTCACTTCTTACACATCTATCTTACCCCAACCAGCAGTTGACCCATTCAGGGCAATGGGAGTCTTGAAGTGGGGCCATTATTTAAAGGCAGAAACCAGTCCTTGAAAAATGTACACTCCAAAGGTGCTACACCTAAAACACATATTGATATGGGAAACTTTTTACTTCCATTTTTGACCTATTTACTGACTCTACGTCGTAGTTTAATAATGAATAAATCTTGAGCCTGTGACACTTAATTTCATTCTAACAGCCTGATCGCGTGAGTGACACTACCAAGATAAAGAGTTCAATTATCATACAGTTTACTGATACATTTCTGCCCACAGTTAAAGCTAAGCCAGGGACAGAATAAATACATCCCCCACCCTATTCATGTTTTATTATGAATAAGAGTATTATGTTGGGCACTGCGATATACGAAGGTTGGAACTTTAATAGTGGCAACTATTCATTTACAACTGATACAAAATAGATGTAGGTTTCGAAGTTTTACTGTCCTTCAATGTAGTCACCAGCATTGTGTACAACCCGTTGCCAGCGATGTGGAAGTCGTAGGAAACCTTTAGCAGCGCCTGTTGTGGTGATAGTTCGAATGGAGCGGTCTATTGCCTGAAGATTCTCTGGAATATTTCTGAAGCGAATGCCACAAAGTGGTTCCTTCATCTTAGGAATCAAGTCGTAGTCACAAGGGACTATGGGGGAGTCCGGGGAGTATGGTGGACGGTACAGCATTTCCCAGCGACACCGATCGAATAAATCATCCACAGCTTGCGCTGCATGCGGCCGAGCACTGTCCTGCAAAATGATGGGTGGGTTCTGCAGAAAATGTCTCCACTTCTTTCTCAAAGTTGGTCGCAGGTTCTGTTCCAAGTGGTTACGAGCAGCGTCGTATCGTAGCCATTTCTGCTGTTCCGTAAAATCATGCGGAACCCATTGTGATGCAATTTTTTCTCATGCCCAGGCGTACCTTCAGAATGTGAAGCACAGTCATATGCGCTAATCCTGTCTCTCGGGCCAGCTCACGAATCGTTTGCGGTCGATCACTCTCTAGTAACGCGGAAAGAGCATATGCTTCTTCTTCACTGACACTAGGACGACCTGGACGACCTAGAAGAAACATGTCTGCCACATTTTGGCGTCCCTCGTTGAAGGCTTTACCCACCTTGCACTGTTCTGTAAGGCGATGCAGATTCCCCGCAAGCCTCTTGAAGACCTTCATGACACTGTCGTGCTGTACGGCCTCTGGCACATTCAATCTTTATCCAACTCCGTTGTTCCTGTTTCGAAAACATCGTGACAACACTACATTAGACCGCCAGCTACCACGAGGCTCTGTTCTTCTCGTCACTGCGCATGCGCGTGATGTGGGAAGGGAGAGTCCATTTGCTTTGAGGTAAGGAAGGTATGAAACTAACGTGTGGTATAAGCGACATTATTTGGTTCAGTTGCATGGCGTCTCTACAGCAGTGTTGCCACTATTAAAGTTCCAACCCTCATATCTGATGATATAACACAACGCTTTGGATACCGGGTCCAATTACGTCTTCAGTTGTAAGCTCATAGACAGGTTCATAGTCAGTTTGGCCTGTTGGAAACAGTCAGCGTTCAACTGTATTCTGGCATCGTCTGCTATAAATCTCCACTGACATGGCTTAGTAACTATTCTGCGGCATGAAGACCGGCTGCTAGGCAATGACCGCGAAGGAAACAAGTACGTAACGGGCCGTGAACAGAAACAGAGAACGGTGTATTCTGTAGGGTCCGTGCCGAGATGTTATAAGCAGCTTAGTCAGTCAGTCGAGGGGACTTAGATGGTTGCTGAGTCAACTTAGTCAACTGAGTTACTTATTTAGAGAACTTCTGAGGTTCAGTCGCTGTGAGAAGGTGGTAGCTGAGGCCGGGGACAGTTCAGAAACCCAATGTGAGGGGAATGTCCGCCATTGAAGCCGTTACCAGGCAATGACTAGCGAAGACGTGACTGTGGATACAAATGTGTGTGTGAGATAGTAAAATGTAAAGTGTGGTCACGCGCTGTATCAACGAGTATAATAAATTCGATCATCAATCCGAAACCGTCTATAGTCAAACTCACACATGTGACAATATCATTTATGGCATTTAATTAGCAATGATCAGAAGAATGAATCATAAAGTAACTGGTTCCCTTCTCCAAAAGTCTGGTCCCCGGTAACGGTAAGGTACGCAGTGCAGGCAGAAAGGGGGAACAGGCTGCTGCCAAGGTGCAAAAGCAGGCAGCAGCTTGTACTGGTTTGTACCCCAGCTCCCATGTTCCTTTCCTGCTCCGACATCGTAAATCTACCAGATATAACATCAGAGTTTTTCAACATGGCAACATTTCTAAGTCTTAACAATATTTCATATAGAATGAATTTCTTGGTACATTCATTATGGATCTCTATATAAAGTTGGGCGTCCTAGCTCCAACGATTCATCTCCTACTGCCATCAAAACAAAAGCTAAATGTACCATTTCATGTGATCACATTACTACTACCCATAAAAAGTGGCACTAACAAGGCCCTCACCTCACAAGTTTGCGTCCACCATAATATTATTATTATGACTGTAGGAAATTAAAAAATATGACACTAATGGCTTCAATTTTGTCAAAACTGAGCAACTAGTTCAAATGCCAAATTGGGGGGACACAAACAGCAGTGTATGATCTCATAAGCCTTAACTTGGTTTCTTAATATAGGAAAACAGACTACAAAGAATGTTCGTAAATATAAACGATCACTGTGAGCTGCTCATCATTTGAAAGCCAGCCCAATTCATCTCAGGCGACTTTTTTTACCAACAATCAACCCAGCAACATGTGTACGTACCTTGTTGTGTCTTCATGCAATGGACTCCTACTTTGCCAAGTTTGGCCCTGATCACTCTGTCAGTACCAGAGAGGTAGATATAACGATTTCCGGCCAGCGTCACCCCCGACGACGTCAGGATATCCTGTTTCTCAAATCCTTGTACAAGTTTTGCAATTTCTTCTTTGGACACCTACGAGGAAACAGAGAAAGGTATTATGCAACCGCCAGCAAAAAGCACACTGACATCTCAAGAGGAAACTCCTAAATGCAAACTTTGTTAAAGAACACATCAATAACTTAACCACTGGTACCTCTCTCAATACTTCATGGCAGTCCTATCCGTAACTATATGTACGTGGTAAATCAAACCATCGCTAAGTCGGCTACGGTTAATCCAGATCGAAATACGAAAAATTCTGTTCACAGTTAAGTGCATGTTTTAAAAGACACATAACATTTAAGAGCAAGAGGTCTTTCAGACTGTGTCCAGGGCAGCTGGAGAATCTTAAACCAGGCAAGAAAATGTCCAATACTGGCTTAAGCTGGATGGAGAGAGACCCTGCATTTAAGTTTCTGAGAGAGGAAAAAAATGCTGCAGTGATATTTTATTTATTTTCCTACCTGTATTATTAAATTCTCCATTTCTTTGTTTTTCTTTTTGTCTTGTAGGGCTATCTTGAGCTTCACTAAACCGGACTCTCGCTTAATCCCGACGACTTCTCCCCCCCCAATTAACCTGGATTAGCGACGATTTACTGTGCTAACTACAAAGACTTCTAGAAAACTACAGACTAAGAACAAAAAACATAATTACCTCAGGCTTTTATAAAAATGGCTGTAATGTAAAGTATTCCAATACCGCGCACGCTGAGGTTGAGAATGAAGCAAACACTGAAATTACAGGAATTCCACGCTTCTCGTTGCTGTGACACGCACAATAAAAAGGAAACCTCCCATCCAGTGTTTACATTTATTCATCTCATTCAACCTACTCTCACCCGGGAATAAATCATATTAGAACTGTGTCGTGGAATCTATTACAGGATGATCTATTTAAAACCATAACCAACAGAAAGAAACTCGTACTATACACATCACTGAACATGAAACATAAAACAGTACCTACAAACAAGCTTCAAGTTCCTCCATTCTTCTCAAAAAAACAAAATTTATATCATTTAACATCCTGCAACTGTACAATTATGTGTTTGCTATTATGGCACAGATCGAAACAGATCCTTCTGTCTAACAAAATCAAATCGAATATCAACTGGATTCTGGACGAAGCCCATAACTGTAACAGTTACATTAACAAACAAAATTCTGGGTTTCACTGAATCCTTTGCATCACAACTACAAATCAACTGCATGCAAGAAGTTCCATTTCTGTGCACATTACAGAATATGAAAATAAACGTATCATAATTTCTCTGATGACGCTGTAAGTTCTCAAGTTCGTGATAGCATGATAAGCAGAAGTTTCTTTTCTCTCCAATTTCTACAAGGGGAAGAAAGAGGGTGTACCAGCACTATCAAACCGTATGTCCAACTATGTAAAAGGTAAAACTATCCCTGGTAACGGGCCCTGGAAGCACATAGCGTTGAGAGACGTCGAAGTTCCCATATTTTCTAGATAATCGTCTCACAGATGGCGGTGAGGTTGGCAGTGTCATGCGCCAGCCGCCATTTTCGCCCCGGGAAACAATTAGATCGACTCAAAATCCAATGACCTCATCGGGAATCGAATCCACGACGTACCAGCGTGCCCCCACATAGAAACTGCACAGAGTATAATGTGTGTTCTATTTTCTCCACAACTTTCATTAAGAATATTCTAGCCAGTCGCTCAGCATTCAAGTATTTCCCAACATTTTATGGTACCAAAAGGTTCTTACCGCGTTCTCAAGAGCCCTCCAGGCTTCCCTATCCTTAGCCAGATGAATCCAGTCCATATCACCCCATCCCATTTATCTAAATCCATTTCAATATTATTATCCCATCTACGTCAACGTCTTCGTAGCGGTCTGTCTCTTTCCTTCTGGATATCCCACCAAAATTCTGTATGCGTTCATCTTCGCCCCATGCATACTATATACCCTGCTAAACTCGTCCTCCGTAATTTGCGGGTTATCACCAGAGCACTGCGTGTCCTCGGGTTGCGACTGGGGACAGACTCGTGATATGGTGGTTATCTGTGTACCGATTATATGTACGTATACCCAATAAAGTCACGGACAACCGACAAGGGATGGTCCTCCAGACTGCGGGGTTGTGCTAATAACGCCTCGCCGCAAAAGAAAGTTGCTACCAAATGTTGCGCAGGTCCTCGGACTTGGGACGAACTACTTGGATAAACGACCTACGGCAGGGAAAAATGGGCCTGAAGGTTTGGAACGTAAGAACGGGTATGGTGAAACTAATTTTTCCAACTTTTCACTGTAAACACACCAAACATCGGAAGCTCGGGGGTTCGATTCCCGAAGAGGTAATGGGACTTTTTCGACAGACCCTAATCCTTCCAGCTGCACTATGGCCCTTGGGTCGACTCAGTCTAACAGAAATGAGTACCAGGAAATATTCCTCGGGTTTAATGTGCGCCCAAAGTGTAAGGCTGGCATCCTCACCGCCATCTGTGAGTCGTGTGTCTAGAGATTGTGGAAGCCTCGGCGTCTCACAAACCTACGAACCTCCATCGCCTGTTACATGATAGCTTTACCCTTTATATGCCATATATCACCTTGAATACTGAACTGCATTTAGGGCATATGTTTCAAATCTCGGCCTAGTTGCCGGTTATCCTGGCAGATTGTTTTGTAATTATAACAGTCCCTTCAAGCAACCCGAATGAACAACAGCTTCATTCTAAACCCTCCCAATTCTTCAATCGGCCATCCCACCATCTGACGTTATATAACATCAGTTGCATCAACATACGACACATGCGCCGTGCATACTACACTGCGACCCTAAAATGGTACACAAAATACATCTAAAGATAAACCCGCTATTTTTTCTTCCAAATTTAAAATATTTGGCCCACTTGTTCAGTAACCTAATTTAACAAAGCAATGCTGGGCTCAGTGGTGCATCATATTTTTGGCTCAGAGAAAGTGGCACATGCTACGGACGAGGCTGAGCGCGTATGTCTGTCTAGATACTGAAACTGTCGCCAAATACACCCACAGCTCAAAACAGGACCCAACATTTATTCTATATTAATTTACTGCTGAATCACTGCGTGGTTTTCGCGAAGTAAAACGTTTCTGTGGGAGGACCAAGCAATGCAGGGCATACAAGGAAAGTAAGATGAACTTTCAAGCTCCCATTTTTCTATCCTGGAGGCAGAATGATCCTCTGAAACGTTCGTACCTACTTACCAGGCTACACACCGTCATATCGTAAGACTCCATGATGTCAGTAATCACACTTTACGACCCTGAAGTTAGGAGCAGCATGTTCCTCCGAAACGCTGCTACCTATTAGACTATATAGTGTCAGCCCTCAAAATGTCCGCAAAACATGAAGCTCATTTTCATTGCAACGAACTCCTATGTCCCTAACTTACAGCCAGTAAAATGAACGTATTGCAGCATGCAGATCCGATGCTAAGTAATGACTCTGTAAACAACGCCAGTTGCCAGGCAACAGATTCCTAACACCCATAAAGGGACTGAGAAGAGGTGTTCTCTATGTTGTCAATTACAGTTACGTGACGCAACAGAAGAACTGTTAGAAGGGACGTCAGTGGTCAGTGCGGTCAGTGCCGGGGTGCTATAGGGAGGACAAGTCTAGTTTAGTTGGCTGGGAGAGCCGTCGGCCAGTATGCGCGTAAACACGGAAGCACAGGAAGCCGCAATGTTGGAAGCCATTACCAGACGACAGGTCACACAGCAGACTGAAGACTTTGTGCGTGTTGCAGTGAACTGTAGTGTGTGCGCGCATTAGCGAGAGCGCTATAATTGCTTGTAGTTGCGTTCTGTAAGAGATCAATAAATCCAATTACCAATCCAAACCACGTCTACAGTCACTGATACACGTGGCAATATTTCTCACTAGCTGCACAGTGCGAAACACACAGGATGTCATCGTGTTCCTGTACAAATCACGAAACGATTTGCCGATAGGTGCAGACTTGCAAAATTGTTTCATAATCAAACAACGGAACAGAAGTTGCTTTAACTTTATGGGCATCCTATAGTGGTGGGGTCAATGTTCACACAAGACGCGTCCCGCTCGCACTGCTGGAATACCGAAGTCACGGCCCCACGCGATTCGTCAGTCGGACACCACAAATCAGTCCCCACTGGACATTAAATGATGTGGGAGAATTCTTAATCTCGGCACTAAACGGAGATGAGAGGTCAGCTTCACGACCCAGCTGCTTTACTCCACGGGAAAGAAACCCCGGAATGAAGTGCTCCCCAGAGCCAGTATGGACCCTCTGGAGGGGGGGGGGGAATCTCCTCCCGCCGGAAATCAAACCTCGATGTCTCAGCCGTCCAGTCGCAAGCCTACTCAAATACAGGTCTACAAGTTATTATTGGGTAACGACCTCGAAACAAAGAACGCAACAACATTCGCTGCTAGGCAACATATTTCAATAAGGTGGTACATACGGCCGCTGTTAGGGGACGGCTAGGTAAATGCTTCCGCGGGAACGGATACACATGCAACAAAGGAACTGTGTTCTCTGGTGGGTGGTGTCGAGATGTTATAAGCAAGGGCCAAGGTTAGAACTTGGCCGATGGGTGCTTTATTCCAAGACAGACTGGCCGACTGACCGTCGGTCGTAATACAAGACTCAAGAGCTTGGCCAGTTAGCAGTTTGTGAAGAGAAGACTTAGTTGTATAGTTGCAAGACTGCTTAATTTGAAGGGAGCCGTCGTTCAGAGTGGACGTGTGCGCGGAAGCTGTAGAATCTCCACGGTTAAAGCAGTTACCAGGAAAGGTCTACTAACATAGTAACAGACTGTGAACAAGAGTGTGTGCGTAACAGTGATTTGTGAAGCTATATAATTAAGTGCAATTGCGAGCTGTGAGTTGAAGTGGTCAATAATTCGAGTCACCAATCCAAATAGAGAAACTCCAACGCGTGACAATATACTGATTCTGAGTTTACGTCTTTTCGTTTTGAAGTCTCCAGAAACAAACGTAACTGAAAACTATGAAACTGGTGTTCTAATACCTAGT